AACTGCACAAACAATCTATTATGTAATTTCTTCGTCCTATAAATATACAAAGGCAATTATTAGAATAGGTGGATATTATTTTCATATAGTTGTCGCTCTTTAAACTAAGTGTTATGCTTTTTTCGACTAAATGTAAGGCATTTTCGACTCTAACTCCCAACCTACGGGTCTGAAAAAAAAATTTGTCTGTTGTCACAGGTCCTATTTGTCATGGGAAAGTTGTCCGTGACAGCAATACTGTGGTTCAGGGGCTGTGTTGAATTTTCGACCCCGAAACGCCATTTTTCGACTGAGTTTAAGGCGCTTTTGGCTCTAACTTTCAACCTACGGGTCCGAATTACATTCCATTTGTTGTCGCAGGTCCTAATTGTCATGCGAAAGCTGTCCATAAGAGCCATACAGTGGTTTGGGGGCTGTTTTGAATTTTCGCCCCCCGGAACAACCTTTTTCAACTAAGTTTAAGGCATTTTTGGCTCAAACTCCAAGCCTACGCGTCCTAATTACATTCCGTTGGTTGTCACAAGTCCTAATTGTCATGGGGAAGCTATTTGTGAGAGCCATATGGTGGTTCTGTTTTGAATTTTCGCCCCCGGAATGCCTTTTTTCGATTAAGTTTAAGGCATTTTCAGCTCAAACTCTCCAAGCCTACGCATCCTAATTACATTCCATCGGTTGTTGCAAGTCCTAATTGTCATGGGGAAGTATCTGTGAGAGCCATACGGTGGTGAGGGGGTTGTTTTGAATTTTTGCCCCTGGAACACCCTTTTTTGACTAAATTTAAGGGTTTTCAACTCCGTTGGTTGTCACAGGTCCTAATTGTCATGGGGAAGCTATTTGTGAGAGCCATATGGTGGTTCTGTTTTGAATTTTCGCCCCCAGAATGCCCTTTTTCGATTAAGTTTAAGGCATTTTCAACTCAAACTCTCCAAGCCTACGCATCCTAATTACATTCCATCGGTTGGTGCAAGTCCTAATTGTCATGGGGAAGTATCTGTGAGAGCCATACGGTGGTGAGGGGGTTGTTTTGAATTTTTGCCGCCGGAACTCCCTTTTTCGACTAAGTTTAAGGCATTTTCGGCTCAAACTCCCAACCTACGGGTCCGAATTACATTTCGTCTGTTGTCGCATGTCCTATTTGTCATGGGAAAGCTGTCTGTGAGAGCCACATGGTGGTTCGGGGGCTGTTTTAAATTTTTGCCCCCGGAATGCCCTTTTGGCGATTAATTTTATTTTGGTCACCAAATTTAGTCGCCAAATGTGTAATTTCTTGTAGTGATGACACTAAGATTGTTGATTTCGAACAATGCAACAATGAAAATGTCAATTTACTACTTAGCTTTTTAGTTTTTTGTTTATCTTGTTCGTATAGTCGTTGAGAAGATAACTTTGTTTGTCACGTGTTTGAATAATCAAGTTAAACTTTTATACAATGTTCGATTAGTTTTATTCGAACAAAACAATTTTGTTCAAATTATTAAGGTTGACCAAATTATAATTTATAAATATTCATACATAAAAAATTGAACATTTTAATTCCTTAAGAATTTCATTTCTCAAATTTAATTCAATTCAATAATTTAATTTGTTATTGTTATATTTTCTTTTCTTTTTTTCCAAAAAGTAGATATATTCAACATTTACAAAAAAAAAAAACAAAACAAAACAAAACAAAACAAAAACAAAACAAAACAAAACAAAATAAATAACATAAAATTTAATATATGTTCAACAGAATAAAAATAAACATATAAAACATGTTCAACATAATAAGTCTGAACGAGTTAAAGTTGTTCAACATATAAAGTATAAACGTATTTATTTTGTTCAACATAAATATTTTGAACATATCCAATTTGTTCAATTTTTTTTTTAATTTTTTTTTTACGATAATATTATGTTTAGACAATCAAAGTTGAACCAAACTTGAAATAAATTTTTATGGAAGTTGAATCGGTAAGCAAATAAAAAAAAAAAAACATAGGAAAAACATATCAAGGTGTGAATCAAGAGTGAGAATGAGAAATCTTCAATGCCGACAATGCACCAGCAAAACAATGGTGAAACGACGGTGAAGATGAATATCTAAAATGACGACAATGCACCGACAAGCTAATGGCGAAACAACGGCAATGGAGATTTGAAACAATGAGAATGCACTAGCCAAACGAAATCCTCCTTTGACGATGGGGATCTTCAATGCCGACAATGGAAATCTATGGTGTTCTGAAGATGGATGTCTCTAGTGTTCTGAAGGTAGAGATATTTAGGTGTGAATTGTGATCAGGGGCAGAGCTAACAAGGGTCTAGGGGGGTCACGTGCCCCCCCTAAGTTTTGGAATTGTTTTTTTTTTTTTTGGACAAACATAAAGAAAATATTTTAAATAAAAAAATTATAAAAATATTATTTTAAATGTCAATGACATTTTTAAAATTATGAGAACATTAATGGTTATTTTGATTAAAAATAAAGTGACTACGATATTATTATTTATGAAAATTTTAATATAATGGTGATGTCTATCATTATTGACATGCAAACATAATTAATCTCAAATGAAAATATATAATTTATTGAAATGTTAGTTACATTTGACATGTAGCATTCATCCTCCATGTGTTTCTTTACTATTAGTTTGTGATATCACATGTTAATGATGACGTGGTATGATATTATATCAAATTTTTATGCATTTTTTGTATAAAAAAATTACTTTATCATTATATAATTTATTTTAAAACTTTATATCCATGACTTTTTTTAATATTATCCATGATACACTAATTACAAATAACATTATTTTTCTTTTGTCTTTCTTGAAATCAATGGTAAAAATTTATGTGAAATTTTTTTGTAAAATTTTTTAATATTATAATTAATAAATGTCCCCTCTAATTTAAATTCTTGGCTCTGTCACTGATTGTGATGTATATTCAGACATACAGGTGATGTGTTACCTTAGGGCTAATAATAAGTTTTAGCATGAGTTTAAAAAAATTGTCATAAAAAAAGTCACTACTTTTCAACTTTTAGCAGCAGTTTGAAAAATTCGCCACAAAAAAAAGTCACTAATTGTAAATTTTAACTACAATTTACAAAAATCATAATAAAAAAAGTTATTAATTGTCAATTTTTAATGAAACGTGTGTAAAAAAATGTTACAAAAAATTATTTTTAGCAATGATTTTACTAAAACTTTTTCAATAAGACTTAATGAAAATTAAGTCCAACTATTAAAATATATTCATAATTTACCTTTTTATTCTTGAAGGTTTACACACTTAAGCGGGTTCTATTCTAATTTAACATACGCTTGAATTTATCATTTAGAATATCCATACACTCACTAAATTTACCAAACACTTGACACAAAATTGACCCCACTATTACTGGTGTTTGGAGGCACCGTTTGGGAAGAAGGTTTCTAGGTTTTTTTGACTATTTTAGTCACAAAAAATAAAATAGGTTATTTTAGCCACAACAACCAAAACATCACATCCAACCCATAAGCATTACACTCTTCTCTCATAAAAAAAGTCAAAAAGTCCTTTCCAAATCAAGCTTTTCAGCCCAGGCTAAAATAGCCTAAAAAGCCAAAAAACCAACCCACTTCCCAAACGGAGGCGGAGTTTGCTTATTTGGTTTTTTTTTTTTTTTTTTTTTTTTTTTTTTTGTGAAGTTTTAAAATTCCTCAAAAAATTTTTCCACCAAACCAGATTATTTTGTTCCTAAAAATCTATTTATTAGTGACATTTTTAAAATTTTATCGTTAAAAACCTTGTTTTTTACTTTGCGAAAAAACTTTTTAACAACTACTCTCACGATAATAGAAATTGATTCTATCTTTTGCGACAAAATTTACTTTTAAAGACTAAAGAATTTGATCTCAAAATATGTTGTAGTGTAGGTCCTACATTTTTGTAGATCCTACATCATATAGAAAATTATATCTAATTTTTTAATTTATTTTTGTACAGGTAGAACTACATTAAATATGTTTTAATCTTGTTTTGGATATTATTGCTTTGATAGGTTGTTTACAGTTAGAGGTGATGCCCAAAGACTGCACATTTGCGGTAACTTCTAATAAAACAATAAGCAGTAAAAGGCAACTCTTTCCTTACTTTTCAGAAGTCAATTTTTTTTAAGGTTATTTAAAATATTATAAGTAAAAACTACATTAAACACTAACATAATAACAAAAAATACATACAAGCAACCAGGGGCGGCTCCAAGGCTTGGCCAGGGGTGTCACCCGAACCCCCTAGCTGAATTTTTATTATTATTATTATTATTATTATTATTATTAAATAAATATTAAATTTTCAAAAAAAAATTAGTAATTAAACCCATTAAAATACAACTTTGAACCCATAGTTTTAAATCCTACTTTTTTGAACCCACTATTTAATAGTGTTGATAATGAGCTTATTATACAATGATTTCAAAATATGAAATCTCGTCGTGATCAATTGTAAAAGCTCGTGTATTAGCATGTCTTTTTGCTTAAATAATAGTATCAATATATTAAAATATTTTTGTTTATAATTTTAAAATTTAAATTAATTTATTGATTTTTTTTCTCCATATGTGATATAATGATTAATGTGAATTTTCTGTAAGATATATGATATTTAAGTTTTTGATTGACACCACTGACAAAAATTCCTGGAGTCGCCACTGCAAGCAACTCTGTATAAGATGCACAAAACAGCCTCTATGTATGAAGATTCAATAAAGTATGATTTATTTTGATTGAATTTTCAAGCTGTGTTTGAATCATAAATTTGGATAGAATTTTAAAAACTAAAAGGAAAAATGTGAGTGTAATATATTTCACCAACTTTTTTCCTTTTCTTTTCTAAATTCCTATTTAAATTCATAACCCAAACACAATATTTAGGAATTCGGTAAAGAAAAAGGAGGAAAACAATTGATGAGCAGCAATGACTTACAAATACAGAACCAACCACATAAAACATATTATGCCAATTGGAGAAGATTAAAAACAGCCACTAGTACTGTGTTTATTATTATATTATTATAGGTAATAAAAACACACAAAATGACTCCAGAAAAACAACCCAAAGAGTAAGCTCTCTGTAAAGCACAAACCTAAAAGGTCAACAAACAACCCAGCACAAGAAGCAATCCCTGTTGAGATGATTTAAGTCCCAATGGACATTAAACACACTAAAAAGTTCAAGCATATAAGGCATAACAAAATTACAAACGATCATGTTTTAGAGGTGCATGTCACCCTTCGGTAAAATTGTCTACTGTTTTATGACAACAAAGCACAGCCACGCACGTCCGCAAATAAGTCCAAGAGCACAAAAACCAGACATAGAATTAGACAACGGAAATATATGAATGGACAGAATTTTACAAGATTTATAAGTGGGATCCACTTCTAAACAATCCTCTCTATTATATATCTTCCATGTCCAGTTCTTCATTTGGTTTCTGTATTCTTAGACTTAAGAATAACAAATAACACGGGCATAGTAGTAGTAGAATACTCAACATCGAATGCCATGGAAGCGCATTAGTACTATACTCAACTTCAGCACGATGGCAAGGACGAATACCACTTCAGTATAGTTTTTTGTCAATTCCTCTTCATCATCTAGAAAACAATTGTAAAATTCACTTTGCGGTCCACCTCCACCTCGACCTCCACCATGCCCATGCCCACGTCCACGTCCACGTCCATCACCTCCACCTCCACCTCCACCTCCACCTCCACGGTAATCTCGAAAGAAGTTGAATGCCGTCAATATCGGTTCCACAAACCTAATTACTGTCCCAAGGATCTTTGCCAATGCATTGGTCATTGAACTTTCCTGTTGAGCTGCATGAATAAAAATTAAAAAAAGAACTTAAAATGCTATACTGGTTTTTTTTTTTGTCACCATTTTGTATCACTGGATATGTAAGATTGATTCTTTGTTTAGAAATAATTGTCATACCCTCATGATATTAAACAGAGATGTATAGCAATCCTCAAAAAAAACAACAAAAAACAAAAGACAAAAAGAAAAGAAAAGAAAAAAAAGGGTTGTAACATAAGGTATAGAACATTACTCCAAGAGCATTCAAGAGATGAGATAATTGAGGATACCTAAGAGCATAACAAACTAATCCAATCAATAACAAAGTACCAAAACATGCAACAAATACGAGTAGGGTAATCAATAAGATTGGTGAAGCAGCAATTAAAAGCAAAAATAACAAATTGGAAAGCTTGTCTGATTGCTTTTGTCAGACAAAAATTGTAACCTTGAATACATGGACTCTTTCTAAAAACTAAGGCAAATTACATGAGTAATCCCTGCATTTTTATCGTGGTGTCATTTTCGTCCCTGTAATTTCAATTAGTTCGATTTTAATCCTTAATTTTAAATTGTGTCAATTTGGTCCAATTGATAATGTCAATTAGGGTTTTTGAAGGAAAATTGCCTATGGCTACATCTTTCATTCACTCAACTTCATCCTCTTGATTACATGGTACACCATATATATATATATGGAGGGAGATATAATCAAATCCCTTTAGTTAAGAGAATGAAATAAATTAAAGACAAAAAATCATGATGACCACAAATCATGAAATCTTCATATATTTTGATATCTTTAACAATATAATCTTATCCTTAACAAATCCTATTAATTTAACTGTATATGCAGACACAACATACATACATAATATACACAGTAATATATATATACAATTATATACATTGGAGCAATGGAGGATCAGAATGGGAGAGGGAGTCGTGGCAGAGGGGATTACAATGAGGACTAGGAAGGGGAAAAGGAGGTCATAAAGGAGGTCAGAAATGGGAGATGGGGTTAGGGGTAAGGCTAGGGCTAGGAAGGGAAAAGGTGCCACAGGGAGGGCTACCTATTAGAGATAGCGTTTGTACGGTATGGAGAAGAAGACGATGGTGGGAGCAAAAAGTTCATTATGTGAACACATGGGTAGAAATTGTCATTTTACAACATTAACTGAATTTCATTTAAATGAAAAATCATTCCAACTCGCAAAATTTACATGTATGACAATTTCAATCAATTTGGGCAAAAAATGTAACCATTTTACTTTAGTCCAAAACCATAGGAGAGATATTTGGCTACTTTTAAACCATAAACGGGTAAAGTGCTACAAGGCCAAACCACAAGAGGTTAAATTGGATTTTGCCCTAATTTTTACTACACCACCATATTGAGAAATCAAAAAATCAAGACATTGGTATATTGAAATGTATCAATATCGAGAAACAAAACAATCAACATGTATGAACCGATATGTATTATATCGTTCAATATTTAAAATCATAGGAAATACAATAAAGCTAGAAAAACCTGATGATTGTTGTTGACTGAAGAAGTCATTGTGCGTCTGAGGGTTGATGCTCGGAGTTCTCACTATGTTGTTGGCACCTGAAGACGTGGGATAATATATTTACTACATTTTTTAATGCTATTTTCATAACAATGATATTACATTGCACAAATAAAAACAAATGCTTTGCTTCGTTTGATTTTTCAAAACTTTTTTCACGGCTGAGGGGATCATGATGAGGGGGCTGGGGAGGGGAGAGGGGGGTTGCAAGGGACGTTGGAAATGGGAGAGGGGATTAGGGCTAGGGCTAGGGCTAGGGCTAGGGAGAGAACAAAGGCGACATGGAGGGGCTGGCTGTTAGGGTTTGTAAGGTATGGAGAAGACGACGACGACTGAGGAAAAAATTTCATTATGCAAACACATGGGTAAAAATGTCATTTTACAACATTATTTCAATTTTATTTATGTGAAAAATCATTGCAACTCTCAAACTTGGCACATGTACGACAATTTCAGCCAATTTGGATGAAAAAGCAACGGTTTCACTTTAGTCCAAAACCATATAGGAGATATTTCGGTATTTCTGAACGATAAGGCAGTAAAGTGCTACAGGACCAAACCACAAGGGGGTAAATTGGATTTTGTGTTGATTTTTATTACCACCATATATGCACTGGAATGTATCAATATTGAGAAATCAAAAAATCCATATGTATCAATTGGTATATTGGAATGTATCAAATCGAGAAGCAAAAAGATCAACATGTATCGACCGATATTAAACATCATTCAATGTTTAAAATCATAGGAAATACAGTGAAGTTAGAAAGACCTGATGACCATTGCTGAATGGAGAGGTTGTCCGTCTGCTGGTTGCTGCTCAGATTTGTCACTACATTGTTGGCACCTGAAGAGGTGAGATAATATATTCACTAACTTTTTTAATGATATTTTTGTAACAATATATTACATAGCCCAAAAAATTACTTCAAATGCAAGTTTTCTGTTTTGTTTGAAAAACTATTTTTAGACGAATTTTCTGCTCTTTAGTGAACTTTTTTCATATTTTGGTTTTTTTTTTTTTTTTTTAATGTTTTAGATGCACCTAATCTAGATGCTTCTAAAAAGTGTTAGAAAAAAAAAAAAAAGGCATAGAATAAAATATGAAAAAAAGTATGCTAAGAATGAACACATGCACCATCTCACTTTAATGTGTAATATTTGGCATTGTTTCTATTTTTGTAACAATAATATTACATAGCCCAAAAAATACTTAAACAACAAAACCTTTAGATGTATAGACTAGATTCATTTTGGATGTGCACCATCCCACTTTTCTAGTCTACATGCATATAATTTTTAGGCCCAATTATAATAATGGTCCCTCTAATTTTTCAAATTAAATCAACTTAGTCCAATTGATAATATTTGTTAAGAAATTGAATAGACATCAAGACCAAAATAGTCTGTTCAAAAAGAAATGGACCATTTCAAATTGGACGCCAACCCCCCAACCACTCTGATGAGAATAAATTGGCTAGTTTACTCTTTCATTTCAGTCTAATTTCTAAATATTGTTATGATTTGACTAAATTGACAAAATGTGACAAAGTCAAAGTAAAATCAATGCAATTAGAGTTACAATGACCAAAATTTATATACCAAGGGCAATGACTGTATTTTGCCCTAATTTTTATTGCTATCAGTGAACTAAAATGTATCAATATTGAGAAATTTAAAAAGTCGATATTTATCAATTGATAAATGTATCAATATCGAGAAATTAAAAGCTGATATGTATAAGCTGATATAAATTATAATACATATCGATCGATATTTAAAATCATAAAAGTAAATACAATGAATCAAAAATGGCCTGTGTCTGCGAATTGCTGCTCCTTATTGCCTCTGAGTGAGATAATATATTCACTATCTCTTCTTATAATATTTTTGCAACAATAATATTACATAGCACAAAAAGGTTACTTAAAAAATGTCAAAAAATAAAATTTTTGAAATGTAAAACCTAAATTTATTTTGGATGTGATTTCATTACACTAAGTTTGAATCTACACCACACACTTTATTTTTTAATAAATTTTTACATTTGTTTTTAGACTCCCTAACTTTTTCCTTTCTGTAACTACTAGACAGTAGACACCGAGTCCACATTTTCATCAAATAATAAATAATATTAGGATATATGAGACCAATGATGGAAAATTAATCAACCACTTTGGAGAAAACAAAATATAATCAAAGCAAAAATTCATCTTAGCATGATATATAGGAAAGGTCCCAGACATTTAAGATCAGTTTAAGGTTGGATTTCTATCGATCATCCTAGGTTTTGTTAATGTGATTAATATTTAATTAAACTAAGACGAGTGTAATGTACCTTGCACAGTTCATGGCTCAAACAATGGTTCAAAGATTGTAGATCAGACCAAGGAAACTAAGACCAAGGCCGCAGCTGCAGCAGCAGCCACAACTGCTAAAGCTGCTAAGTCTGCCAAGATTAGCAACACAAGCAACTGCAGAAGCAATGCTAAGGCTGCAGCTCTATCACAAGGCTGCAGCTCTATAGTGTGTATAGACGTGTGTAGGTTAGGTGTATGTTAGCAAAACTCTTGTAACAAACTCAGTTGGTAAGTCAGATATTTGTTAGATAGATAATTTTGTTAGATTAGTATATATAGATAAACTAATGTATGATCTGGTTATGATTTTCATTCTATGAGAATAATATCTTTTGGCATTCGTCTTCTCTTTCTCTTCAGAACATGTATTATGAAAGATGTACAATTATTTTAACAATATTACTACAATGATTATATTTTTGTATCATGTTTTGCTTAACATCTCATGTGTGTTAATACTGCATTGGTAATAAACATGAGTGATAAAATCCATTAAACTAATACAATGTTGACAAATAAGATGGTAAACCAATTATGATAAGAAAAGATGGTGGAACCCATTAATAAATAAATGCATTTGTGAACCTGTCTCCAGCTGCCGCAAGAATTCCTGAACTGCTTTATTGTTTAGAAAAGCATTCCACATCTTTACATCAGTTACAACAGCCTTGAGCAAATTCTACATACAAAGTGGGCACAATAGATTTAGAGGACATAAATTGATGAAAATAATTTTCATGACAATAGCTGCTTAAAACTTTAAACTCCTTGTCATGTGATTACCTAATTCAAAAGATTAGCAAATAATATTCCTTACGTTCTTTGTGTGTGATTTTATTAAGGGTCTTTTATCCTTTATATTCAAACCCAAATCATACTTTTTTTCAACAATGATGGGCAAGTTGGTCATATAAATGATTCAAAAGGATTCAACAATGATCACTTTGGAACATGTTGTGGTGAGCATGATTTTAAATACTGAATGATATATACCAATACCAGCGATACGAATTGGTTTTTTGGCCTTTAATACCGATAAACTCTGGTGTATCAGTGGGAATAAAAATCGCATGCATATCGATCGGTTCGCGATATGTATCGCTTCATAGCGGATTCAATACCCGATTCAGAGATGATATGTCAGGCCAGTTCACTGCTATGCAGTTCTTTTCACAGAGTATGATTTTTAAATTTTTACAGCTGAGTCAAACATTACCTTGGTTGTGCTATTTAAAACCTTGGTTGTGAGTGTACCTCGTTTCATTAATTGCGACACATCATTGAAAGCATAATGTCTTTTAGGACATGATTCAAGAGTTAATGCAATCCCCAAGTGGGAAATGGCTCTTGTCCAAGTGCAAGAGAAGAACAAATGTTTCAAAACACTAATTATAAGCAGAATAAGGCACCTGAATGGGTTTGGCTCTGCCCAACAATTCAAAAGCATTTTGAAAAGTCATTCCTACAACAGATTGCAGCTTTCCTAGACCATCAACGCTTGAAATCAATGGAAGTGAACCGACTTCTGATCCAGTGTCGGATTGCAAAGTACTGCACGAGGTGTCATATGAAAGATAGGATTAAGATCAGATGCATTCATATCCAAACTAGGCAAGGGAACCCAAATCAACTAGTGCAGAACAAAACCACACTCCGAGACATTTATTATACTCTCTGAATGAATGTATAGAAAGTTGTATATATATATATGTAAAATACGTGAACTATTGAAGAAGATAACAAGTCTAAATCATGAAGCACTAGAGTACAACTAGAAGAAAGCCGAGATCATGTACTGATGTTCTATTCTCTCCATAACTCTTCTATTTCACTCTCTTTGGTATATTGTAATACTTTGTTTCTCTCCCTTTGCTACATTGTAACACTTTGCAGTAAAAAGGCACAATAATGCTATGATGATCGCATTTGTATACCACAAATGGGAAAGTGTTACAAAAAATAAAGAGGTTGGAGGATTGGGAACCAGAAAAATCAGGGAAATGAATTGAATGTCTTTTGATGATATGGTGGAGGAGATTTGGCACACAAAGGAATGCACTTTGGAGGAGAATTATCTGCAGCAAATCAGGCAAGTTGAATAATTCCTGGCTTCCTTATAGCACATCTTCATACAATTCATCCAGGATCAGGAAAGAAATCATTGCAATGGAAGGTTGATGCGGAAAAGATGGCTAGAAAATATATATATATATTACAAAAGGACAGGAAAACCAAATTCATAAGCTAACATTATTATTTGGCAAGATTTTACCCTAGAATTAGCCTAATAATGATGTCTCAAACACCACCCAATTTTCAGCATGTTAGTGTTGAAAATTTAGCCACCAGCCACCAATGAAGTCCAATTTTCAGCATGTTAATGTTGAAAGTTTAGACACCAGCCACGAATAAAGTCCAAGCATATCTTTACTTTGAAAATCTCATTAACGTGTATCTTTTACTTTGAATTTTGTATTTGTCTTCTATTGTATTGAGATGTCTATAAATATGTAAGCTCATAATGTATTGAGGACAACATGAATGAAATAAGAAAGCTTTGCTATATATTTGGATGTGTGATACATCTCTTCTTGGGTGTGATTGCCCTTGAACCTAGGTGTATTTGGCTTACCTATGAATGAGGTAGAGCCTTGTATTTATAATGAAACAATATAACAAAATAGGAAATGAAGATAAAAAAGGTACTAAATTTGTGATTGACACAATCACAGATTTTATGCACACTACCGTAACCGTAATTATAATATCACTATTTCCTAATTCCAACACTCCCTTTCAAGCTGGTGTGAAGATATTCAATAAACGCAGTTTGCCGATAGACGATTGGAGTAATGTTGGGCCTACAGACTTGGTGAACATATCTGCTAACTGCTGAGAAGAAGAGACAAAGAATGGTCTCACAATACCAATCCGAACCTTCTCTCAAATGAAATGTATATCAACCTCTATATGCTTAGTACGCTCATGTAGGGCAGAATCAGAAGACAACATAATAGCAGACTTGTTGTCACTAAATAAAGAAGCAAGAGCAGTCTCCTTAAATCCTAACTCTGCAAAAATAGAACGCAACCATAGAATTTCACAAGTGCCTTGTGTCATAGTCCTATACTCAGCTTCTGCAGAAGACCTAGAACCAACTGCTTGCTTCTTACTTTTACATGATATAAGATGATCACCATAGAAAGTACAGAAGTCAGAAGTAGAACTCCTATCCGTTCTAGATTCTGCATAGTTAGCATTAGTAAAACAGGAGAGTCTAGATTGAGGATTAGCTGTGAAGAACAATCCCAAGCTAGGAGAGGTCTTCAAAAGATGTGATGAACCGCATCACGATGTTCTGTACGAGGTGCATGCATGAATTGGCTAACCACACTAACCGCAAATGTCAAGTCAGGTCTAGTATTGATCAGATAGATAAGACACCCAACAAGACGCTGATACATACCTGGATCCTCTAGTAATTCGCCGGACTCTGATGTGAGCTTGACATCGGGATCCATAGGAGTGGAAGCAGGTTTACACCCCATCATATTAGTATCCTTAAGTAAAGTCAAGAGTATACTTCCTTTGAGATAAGGAAATCCTTGCTGTGAGCGAGCCACCTCAATCCCCAGAAAATACTTGAGATTCCCTAAATCCTTAATATCAAAAGTGTGTCCCAAATTCCGTTTTACTTGATCAATGCCTATAGTCATTACCAGTGAGCATGATATCATCCACATACATCAACAAGGCTATACACTGCCCTGCAGAATTACGACAAATGAAGCAAGTATGGTCTGAATGGCATTGAACAAAGTCCATGGAGAGGATGACTAAGCTGAAACGACCAAACCAAGCTTGTGGAGACTGCTTTAAGCCCTACAAAGACTTGTACAGTCGACATACTTGTCTCGAATACTCCCCCACAGCTCGAAAACCAGGAGGAGGGCCCATATAAATCGTCTCAAGAAGATCCCCATGCAAAAAGACATTCTCGACATCAAGCTGATAAAGGGGCCATGAATGGGATGCTGCAAGAGAGATGAGTAGACGAACAGAGGTAAGCTTGGCAACCGGTGTAAAGATAGCACCAAAATCCTTGCCGGGAACTTGAGTGAAGCCTTTGGCCACTAAACGGGCCTTATAACAGTCAACGGAGCCATCAGGTAGGTACTTAATAGCAAAGACTCATTTGCAACCCACGGTACTCTCGCCAGAAGGTAAAGGAACCAAATTCCAAGTATGATTCTGTTCTAAAGCTGCCATTTCAGTTTGCATTGCCGCCATCCATTTTGGATTCTGAAGGGCCTCTGACATAGACTGAGGAATAGACTCGGACTCAAGCTTGCCAAGGAAAGAATGATATGAGTCGGAAACCTTGTCATATGAGAGATACTGGGAAATAGGATGATTAGTACTACACAGATAACCCCAGCGATTGGGGGGATGGCGATCTCGAGGAGGATTATGACGAGGAAGGGAAGGAAAGGTATGTAAAAGAGAAGAATTACCTTACCCGAGATCCAGAGAGATGGCAGGAGGGGGCTGAGCATGCAGGTGGAAGGAGGGTGGAGGATGAGAGGGGGGGCAACCTCATCCGCAACCGCATCCAAATCCAAAATGTGGACCGGGCGAACACTTTGAGTAGCTGAAGGGGAAACCTGCAACAGGGGGTTAGGACTAAAAAAGGAAGATTCTCACAAAATTTAACATCTAAAATGTGGTGAAAGTGACGAGACACGGGATCAAAACATCTATATCCTTTAGACATGGAAAAATACCCCCCAAAAAATACAACGAACAAACTAGTCATATAACTTAGTGCAAGTGAGACACCAGTCCTGAACAAAACATGTACACCCAAAAACACGAGGTAAAAAAGGGAAAAGGGTAGTATTAGGCATAAGAATATGGAATAGGGTAAAGGCCATGCAACACACAACTAGGAGTTCTATTAATGAGATAGACAGCAGTAAGAATAGCTATGTGCCAATAAGACTTGGGCACATGCATACCACGAAGAAGACAACGTACAACAGACATGATATGACGGTTTTTAAGTTCAGCTACACCATTTTGTTTAGGGGTCCAAGAACATGTAAGTTGTTGAAGAATAACCATTCGATACAGGTGGAAATGAAACTTGTTGGAGATGTATTCCCCACCATTATCAGAGCGGATGTTCCTAACAACTATACGAAATTGTGTCTTAACCATTTGCAAAAACTGAACGAAAATGGGAAACACACAGACTTGCAGTGAAGTAAATAGACCCAAGAGCATCTAGTATGATCATCAATAAAAGTCGCATAATAACGATGACCCAAAAAAGCAAGAACAGGAGAGAGACCCCAAACATCAGAAGGCATAAGATCAAAAGCACTAGGGGCCCGTGTCATGTGGCATATAACTAGTACAGATATGTTTAGACAATTCACAAGTAACACAATGAAATTTAGAATCCTTACAAGCTTTATTTAATAAAAGGAAAAGTTAACATAAATATTGAAAGTTAACATGACCCATACGGGTGTGCCATAACTCTAAAGTTTGAACAGAAAAAACACAAGATATAGGAGGCAAAACAGATGCCTGAAAACTGGCTAAAGTCAAAGAAGGCTTGTCTGATGGATCCCCAAAGTAGTATAGCCCGTCGCTCTTCGAATTCAGGTCTTGTAAAAGACACGAAGAAGGTAAGAAGATGATAACGTAGTTAAAGGTTTTGGCAAGACGACTAATAGATAAGAGATTATAAGCAAACTTGGGAACATGCAACATAGAAGATAAATTGATATCAGGGAATAAAGACACAACACTTATGTTGGACAAAAGAGCAAGAACCATCAGCAAGACACAGATTGGGCAACAATGGTGGGTTCAGGAAAGGAAAGAAAAGAAAAGAAAACTCACCAATCATATGATCATTAGCCCCAAAATCCATGAAGGACTAGCAGACCAAACATGGAAAGCAATAGAAGTACCTGTAACAGAGGTGACAGTAGAGGATGATGGACCAAGAGAACCAATGGTGAGGGACCCAAGTTGAGCCTAAAGCTGACCAATCTGAGTCTGTAACTGCTGTAGATTAGGGACATTAGGAGGCTCAGAAGCAAAAGTAACTTCCACAAACGCAGTAGTGCGAGCAGAGCCAGAACCACATGGAGCAAGACCACGAGGACAGAAAGGGCATTGCCTCAACTCAAGATAAAGTTTGAAGCAACGGGCTTTGACATATCTAGGAACACCACAATGATGACAAGTAACAGAACCGATGGAACTCTGACAACCAGAACTCGCAGCAAGAGCCATCTGAACTGCTAAAACTGGAGGGACTGAAGGAACATTAGGCTGAACCAATTGCCGGTGATGCTCATCACTACCAATAATGGCAAAAGCCTCATAAAGAGATGGCATGGGTGATGTGTTTAGAATTTCAATTCAAAGAGATTCAAATTTAGAGTTTAAACCCACGAGAAACTGATAAGTGTGCTATCGGGCAAACCTCTTGGACACAAGGGAGGCAGCTTCTAGTGGAAGGTCAGTCAAAGGCTCATATTGAACAAGTTCCTCCCAAC